CGCAGAGTGCATTTTTTTCCGCGATGTTTAAAAACAACATTTCGTTGGCGATTTTGATGTAATTTCTTAGTTAATCATCAATGAATCGTTTTAATTAAGCAAACATTCTAAGTTTGTGTAATTTTAAACAAAAAAGTCAGGGACCGATGATCGCAACAGCAGCGGTGAATACCCGTTCAACGCAATGCCGTCAGCTGACTATGTTACCGTGATCGTAGCGTTACACAAATAATAGATAGATCAATGAAAAATCGCTGACTTTAGTTTTGAAATGCCGTTGTAGAAAAAAAATGTCATTATTGATTTATTAATTTCTTCATACAGATTTTACAAATTTAACAAACAAATCCCCCCCCCCCGTGTCGTATGAACTGACAGTAACATTGGCACTAAAACTGACTGTACTTGTACACAAAATAATGATGAACCAGTTACCTCCACGGATAAACAATATATTTACTGACTGGCTATAAGTATTTCCATTTCTTTCCTGTTCTATTTCAAACTTTATTTGACTTGATGCACACATAAAACACAATGAATGTAAATGATAAAAAATATATGAGATATGTATCAGTTCTTTATTTCAGTTAAAATGTTTGTTGGGGAAGCTAATTATTATGCAAACAAAATTATGCAAATAAGATGTATTGTTATGTAAATTAGCCGCGATGCTTGGCTTAGAGTCTGGGGAGAACACTGAGTGTCGTACAGAATTTAATAATAGTTAATACTAGTTGTATGTTCACACTTTACTATCAAAACCACCATTTCGACCAACCATGTGCCAGTTTTCAGTGTTTGGGCGAGCGGTCAATGTTTTCAATGGGCGAGCGAGCGAAAAAAAAACGTGATTAAAATGCGGTCGGTTTCCGGTCGGACAAGACCACGTGGTCGGAAATTAAGCGATAAGTGGTCGATGTAAAAGCGGAAGGTTGGGCGAAATGAGTACTGTATGACCATGTTTCTCCGACGAAGTCTCGACTGACAATAATGCTGACAATGGACGTTAGATAAACACGCATTGTTTGCAACTGGAAGCTTATCACCCGTTATATCAGAATCGTCAACAACAGAGTATACAGATAAGATGTTATCATTTAAACCCTTTCAAAGATAAACATTATGCAAATATTCACGAAACGGCAGTTGTAGTCTTTTCTGCTAGTGTTTTAAAACACTAATTTGAGCAACGTTATTTCGCAATTTCGATCTTTTGTAAACCTGGGGTGATGTATCAAGGTCTAAAGTAACCGTTTTATCCATTTTTGAAAAATCAAGAAAAAAGTGAAAATTTCCCTTCTCGCCTAAATTACTGTTCTGAACGAGACAACAGACAGAGAATGTTTTATTTAAAAACGTCACAAAACCTTCTCGCTACCTTAATGGGTATATGCATGACAAGCATTCCTGCAATCAGTGTGTACAATATAAATGATCACGCTATTCTGTCCTCAGTTGTATTTGTTTTTATTTATTTTTTCATGTATGCAAAACCAAAATGATCAAATAGATTTTTCAGTTTTGGATCAAGATTTATTGGAATTTGAGTCATCCTCCATTTGGTAAAGTTGCTCCATATCATTTATAGTACACACCATCAGAGTACATGTATAAGATTTTCATGGTGATCATAAGGTGCCACAAAAGTTTAGAATAATGATCAAATCCACTGATAGGGCCGTTCCATATTTGCTTGATTAGATTAGAACATGAGCTTACTTAGATGAAATGTTTATAATTACCGTACTCGACCGCGTTAGCGCCCAGGGGCCTCAACTCAGAAAATCACGATTTTTAGGGGTGGGCGCTTACCCGAGCACCCCCCTCGAAGAAGAGTGCAAATGAAAAATTGTATTCATCAAGTGACAGATTACATCTTTAAGGGAAATCAAATTACGAAATTAGTCGTCATTGATTTTCACAATGAAGAAACAGAAATGATCACAAAAAATACGCACATTTTATTACAATATTAATTATGTACCACCAGAATTTACGAAATTAAAAACATTTGAGTCTGTTGGAACACAGTCGAAGTCAAAATTGTCATATTATCTCCACTGATGAAGGTGTTGGATCGTACGCAAACTCTCGATGAAAATCACTTTCCGCCATGATGCATTTGCAGATTTCACCTGCAGCGGCGTCTTTTGACCTTATGGGTCAAGTTGGTTATTAACCAGTCACAATGCTGTGTTGTACTGACGCAATTCTTCGGAAATTCCCGAAGACTTTCCGGTAACGCAATGCGGAAGTGAATTATCGATGTCGAAGTACGATCTGTTGGAATTGATTTCAGCGAATAAACGACATAGTTTTTCCAAAAAACTAGTAACTAGCCATTTTTGAGAGGTAAACTGTATATGGCATGAAATATTTACTGCATTTTACTTGTATTAACAGGTCATTGTCAAAGCGTAGTTTACGCACGGCTACCGTGTTCTACGCATTCACAACATGTTCACAACGGTATCCACGCTGTATCATATAAAAAACGATTACCAAGATTCGATACGCAAGACCAAGTTTTAAATTAGTTGCATTTTGAAGGGGTGGGCGCTTTGCCGAATGTGACCCCAAATATAAAAATTGCGCAAAAGTGGGGGGTGGGCGCTTGCCCGGGCATGGGCGCTAACGCGGTCGAGTACGGTAATACAAGTCAAATTTTCTAATGTTACAGTAATGGTCTTGTACACAATAAATGTGCAAAGTTAGTTTTCCTATAATATAATCATAACAAAATTACATATTAGTTTGATGCAATATTATAGTAACTTAATCATGATGCTTTGAACTTATCAAATACGCTGTTACATATTTCCATTAATCCAATCAAATTCCTAAATTCATGAATGTTTTCATGATTTGTAGAAAAAATGGCTAATTTTACCTTTTCAGCTTTCTCTGATTTTAGCTTCCTGACTTGATCTCCCTGTGTAGTGATTTTATTGATTATTGCCTCAATATCAGCTGGGGATGCTCCACTATTTGCAGGAGGGGCAGCTTTAGTTGCAGGAGGGGCAGCTCCAGGTTTATAGTCTATTCCTGTCAGTGTCTTATACTGTGCTTTCAGACCAAGTAATTCCTTCACTGCTGCATCAATAGTAGCCTTAAAACAAGAAATGATTAGAAATTTTAATGATTCAATAAATTATTTGCAGGTTTTAAGCATATATTATATATTTCTGACTCCCTCCTTAGATTCATAAATAAAAATAAGGGTGAAATTGCAGAAAATTTGGCAACAGTCGCATATTGGATCCATTTCATTTAACACTAACATGATGGTAGTGGCATGTAAATCATTGTACTATGGTTCAACTCTTTCAACACACACAGACAAATGTCATCATCTTTCACAAACTAAATCTGCATTCCTATAGTCAGTAAGTACAAGAAATGATCATGC